TAGGGGCACCCAGGCCAGAGCTGCAGCTATAATAGTGGCCTGGCTTTGGGGAGGCGATTGGGGGTTGCAAGGAAGTGGAGGTGTCAGCAGTGGCACTTGTAGGAGGGACAGCTGCTGTTGGCACCCAGGCTCAGCCAGAATGCCAGCAGCTGTCCTTGCTCCGCCCAGCCGGCCCACAGCCTCTGCACCTGCGTCCCAGCCCAGGCATTCTCCAGACAGGCCGGGCATTCCAGAGACAGTCTTGGAATTGTAGAGATGCCTCTGGCAGGAGCTGCCTGGTCCCTGGAGAGACCTGGGAGGAGTGGAGAGGGATCCCCTCAGGCCTGCCCTCAGGAGCTGAAGAACCCGGGAGCTATACAGAAACCCAGGAAAGATGATGCTCCAGGAGATAAAGAAGGGCCGCAGCGAACAGCCCAGCCTACCAGCGCATCGTCCAATGGTTACTCAGCCTGTGCCGACCGACCCAAGCCTGGATTGTGGGACACATCAGAGCAAGGCCTGGTCCGGAAGCTCCTGGAATTTCTAGTCAACTTGAGAATGCAGAGGGAGATGGTGCACAGGGCTAGAATGACATGGTGGGCCTATGGAGAAGAGTGGTCCAGGAGGGCTTCCTGAGGAGGTGACACTGAGCAAGGCCTGAAGAACCGCAGGGAACCGGCCGTAGGAAAGACTGAGAAGGCCGTGGGAGCAGGGAGGCAGTGCTGGGCTGGCAGCCAAGCTCCAGCAGCCTCGGGGAGGAAGCTGGTTGCTGGCTTCTGAGAAGCACAGCTCCTGTGAGGGGTGAGGAGCTCGTGGGGCTGCAGAAGAGGGGAAGAGTTGTGGGCCCTCCTGAGGCTGAGGTGGATTCTGGGTTTTCATGGCGCAGTAGGGTGCTGGGGTAGAAAAGAGGTGGGGGCGGTGGTTCAGGTGTAGTTTGGGACTGGAATAGACAGAACTTGAAGGATTGAATATGGAGGAGCTAGGGAATGAAGGATGGCCCTTAGATTTTTGGTCAAACCTCAGTTTCTCGACAGTTGCAAACTTGGAGACACTAGGCCAGGGATACAGGGGAGTGGAGGGTATTTTGTGTTTGTGCTTGTGTTTGTTTTCCATTTTGCAATTCCAAACTTGTAAGAATGTTACTAAAATAGTACAAAGAACCCCCATTTATGCTTCAGCCGGATTACCTAAACCTTAACTCTTAAGTAATTACAGGACAGCCATCAAACCCAGGAAATTAACATGGACACAACACTTCTTACTCACCGAAGACTTACTGGGAATTTGTCAGTTGCCCTATTAATGTCCTTCTCCTGGACCAGCCAATCAAAGATCTGATGTGATCCTGCTATCCTGTCTCCTTGCTTGTCACCAATCTGTGACTGTTTGTCAGTCTTTCCTGGCCCTTCAAGAGCTTGACACTGAAAAAAAAAAAAAAAAAAGAAGACCTTGACGCTTTTGAAGGGTACAGGCCAGTGTTTTTGTAGAAGCTGATTCACTGTGAATGTTTCCTCAGGACTGGGTCCAGGAGAGGCTTTTTTCCTTTTCCTCCAGTACTGGAGATTGAACCTAGGGCCTTTATGAGGAGCTATACTCCCAGCCCTTTTTGAAACAGGAGGTTATTAATTTGCTAAATTGTCCAGGCTGGGCTGGAGATTGGAATCTTCCTGCCTCAGCCTTCCAGAGTGTTGGGATTTTTGGTGTGCAACCCCACCGCTAGCTCAAGTGAGGCATTTTTGATGGGCTGATCACAAGACGGAGAGTTTTTTTGACCACATCAAAGTCAAGATGCCTTTGATGTGGGATAGCAGGAAGGCCAGAGCCAGGTGGAGGTGAGTGAGGGAGGGCGCTGCGCAAGAGCTGTGAATGTAGCGTCATCAGTGTGGAAGACCTTTCCAGGCTTTGGTCGCAAACGAGGGCCTTGGAAAGAGTTTGCGGAGAGGGGTCAGAGGGCTGGGCGCCAGGCGCTCCACACGGGCAGCTGGGACGTCACATGGCCAGTGGGGTCGGAGAGACTGGCTGAGCGAGAGGACTGGGCTAGGGAGGGAAGAACGAAGACTTGGATGACAGCTAATGGCCCTGGGGCTCGGGAACACGGAGGCCCTGAGGCCTCGGGCACCTGGGTAGGAGGGCTTCGGTGGAGCGTGGGGAGCGAGCTGAGCCCAGGGAGGTGCTGAGTGTGGACAGTGTCCTGGGAACAGGCGTGGGCTGTGGCACAGGGGCAGAGTTGGGGGCGTGGCTGTGTGCTGATGTGAGCGAGCTGGTGAGGCGGCACAGGGGACGCTGCTTGTGCGGACAGAGCTGCTGAGGAGGTCGGCTGCGCGCCTCCAGAAGGCTCTGGCAGGGCCTGGGATTGCACCGGGCCCTGGATCTGAGCTGGAGAGGAGAAAGGGCGGCTTGAGGCGGAGGAGCAGGCAGACAGGTCACACAGTGGCAGTGGGGAATGAAGGTGCAGATGGCGTCCAAGGGAAGGGCCGCTCCAGAGGGCTGCGTAGAAGATCGCGGCCTGTGGTGGCCGCGTGAAGGGCGTGTTGCCAAGGCAGGGGAGGCTGAGGCGGTTGGTAACGAGCAGGACAAGGACCAGGGGGGCTGGGCCAGCTGGAGTGGCACCAAGGGATGCGGGGTGTTGATGGGTTGGGTGAGGGGGAGACGCCATCACTCCAGGATGGATAGAGGAGGACAGCTGGGACTCTCCAGAGCCACAGCCTCTCCGGCTAGCGCTGCCCCCTGAAGAGCCATGTGTGCCAGGTCCAGCAGAGGTGGCCCCAACCACCTAGCCACCCCTTCGTTAGCCGGGCAGGACACAGGTCGCGGGAGAGGCGGGAGATAAGGTGGTCCCGGCTGTGGTGGGGGCTCCAGGGGACACATCGGAGGACTTGAGCAGGGTAGTACTGTGTGGGGCTGGTGGCCGCGAGCATCCATTCTTTCAGGTGTGCGCACCCCAGAATTCCGCCCGGGTATGACTGGGCTGCCGTTCTCCGCCACCGCCCGGAGGCACCTTCTGCCTGGACACACGTGTCACACACGCAGATGGGCCCAGGGCTCACAGTTCCTACCCCTCATGGTGTGTTGTTTCCTGCATGCACACCCAGCACTGTCCACTTGGCTGGGCCTCCTCTTCACTTCTGAGCTGTGCATCCTTTGCCTGAACAGTGCTTCCTCCATGAAGCCTGTCTTGATGTCTCCGTTGTAGTTGCCTGGTTACTGCCTGCCTCCTTAAGAACCCAAGGTTTCTGTGAGGTGGTCCTGCTGCCTGGTTGGGAGACTGCCGCTTTGGAAACTGGCAGTTCCATCTTTGTCCACTAGATGACACCCAACACTTGTGGCTGGGCCCGTTGATCCAGGGATTTGGCTCCTAGGTGTGCTTCCCACCTGCAGCCAGCAGGCAGGGCCCTGCAGCAGAGATCCTATCCCCTTTCTAGACGGGGAAACTGCGGTCCAGAGAGGGAGAGCACCTGACCAACGCCATGCACATCAACAAAGCTTGGGGTCCCAGCCCCTGTAATGGGCTCTTTCCACAGTGTGGAGCGAGCTGGCCCTCGCACCCTGCCCCCGTAAGACAGCCCTCCCTGCAGCCTCAGCGCGGGCTTGGCTGGGCAGAGACCTCCAGGATGGGATGGCAGGCTGAGGAGTGCTTGGGCCTCCTGTACAGATGGTGACCGCATGATGGCAGAAGGGCTATTCGGCCCGCTCTCTAGCTAGATGGTGGCCTCGCCTCCAGCCCGGGCTCTGTGCCAAAATGCTTCCCACCCTCTGAGGTCCCAAGATAGCGTCACTCCATAGCAGCCCCTGCATAAGCACTGCTCACAGTTTATAAGCCCCGTTCTACCCAGGGTGGCCGGTCCCTGGCCCCGGGAGATCGATCCAGGGTCTGCGCCAAGGCCTGCACAGCCAGAGGCAGGGTCTGTCCTCTGAGCAGCTCTGAGTCACATATGTCCTGGAGAGGAATGGGGCAAGGAGACAAGTTTGTGTGCCTCTGGTCCAAGGGCCAGCCTATTTCCCATCCAGGGCTGAGCTGGGAGAGTAGGTGGGGCTCCAGGAGCCCCAGGAACAAAGGGTCCCAGGAAGGGGCAGTGTCTTTTCTCAGCCTACTGTGTACTGAGCTGGGTCTTTTCTCAGCCTACTGTGTACTGTGAGCTAGGTCCTTCCTTCTCTGAGTGCCCCTCAAGTTCCCTGACCACCATCTGAGGGCCAGGGCTGTTCTATCTGTGTTGCCTAATCTGCACGAGTTTCTAGACTCCTGGGAGCTTCAGCTTCAGCTCAAGCTTGAAACCTTCGAGCCCAAAGCCTCCAATTCTGAGTACAGGCATCTGGGGTGGGGTGAAGTGGGAGTTGGCTGGGGGGGCAGGGGCAGAAGCTGTTCTCGGAAAGAGGCAGATTTATCCTCTCCATCTCATCTCCCCTCAACCCTATGCTGTCCCCCGACCCCCTGCCCGATCAGTGGGGGAGGCCCAAGATCATGATATGTAAGGGGGTCACTGGGTCGCTGAAGAACTGGAGTTCCCTCTGTCCCCCACCCTGAAGCAAGCCCAGTGGCTGGGATGGAGCTTGGAGGATGTAAGCAAGGGCTATGGAGCTGGGAACCTGGCAGTCCCTGGGGGCTGGGCTATCATAGTGTCGCGGGCCTGGGCACAGGGTTAGTCTGTAGGGATCGCTGCTTATGGGAAGTGCCGAGGCAGAGAGCAAGGCGGCACCCAGCCAACTCCCACCCCGCCTTTCAAATTCTGACCTCTGATCTCTGACCTCTCCTTTGGGCTATCTTCTCCACTGTCACTTCGCTGGAGCCTGGGGACCTATGTGTGTGAACATCTCTCTGAGAAAGCTGTCCACACCTCAGCTGGGAAAGTCTCCCCAGACGGGTACTGGCCAATCTGACTTGAAGGCGAGTGGCCAGCTGAGGCGGAGGGGAGTGGCAGGTGGATGGGGTTCTTCCCTGCCGCCCTTCCTCCTCCCGCCTGCCTGCTTGCCCGCCCAGGCTGGGTGGAGCTGCCGCCTTATAAGTAGCTGGCCTGGTGGCAACAGAGCAAACTACAACTAGGGCCCGACCAGAGGGCGGTCTCTTCCCCAGCATGGCCCCCTTGGCCTGGGCCATCTGCTGCCTCCTGGGGGGCCTCCTGCTTGGAGAGGGCAGCCCCAGCCCCGGCCCCAGTGCCAGCGTGCCCCGCCTGCGGCTCTCCTACCGAGGTACTGACCCGTGCTGCCCTCTTTTTATGAATGTTGTATGAGTGCCCCGGGCTCCAGGACAGCCAGCTGGCCCTGGAAGGGGATGCCCAGGCCCCCCACAGCCCTTGGCAAAGGCTTCCAGGACAGTGCTGGGGATGACCCAGGGAGGGCCGGGGAGGGAGGCAGGTCCCGGGAGCCCCGGCCAGACCAGGGGTACAGGGGAGAGGGAGACACGTGGAGTCTGGGAGACCCAGGCAGAGACTGGGCAGGGAGAGGGGCAGAGGGGCAGGTCTGAAGGGTCTGCGTGGACAGTAGGGAGGGAGCGGCAGCCTGCCTCATAGGGAGGGGAGGAGCCTCCTCCACCTCTTGCAGCCTGCTCCCCAGTTGGCTTTATCATCTCCCTCCAGTCCCTCTCCACCCGGGAGCCCAGGGAGCCATTCTTCCTTCCTCCACTGCCCGCCAGGGGGTGGGGCCTCCTCTGTCCTTACCTGGCTTGTGGTGCTGCAGCTGCCCAGCCTCCTCGGTGTCCCTGAGACACAGGCTTGTGGCAGATTTCTCGTGGGGAACAGAGTGGTAGTCACCTTCCCTCAGGAGCCCTGGTCAGAGGCCAGAGATACAGGCACGCCATGGAGCTTTGAGGGGACAGGTTGCTCCAACCTGGAGGGTCCGAGGGGAAAAGCGCTCCTGCGCTGGGAGCTGTGGTTTAGGGGTCAGGCTACTACAAAAAGCCCCCAAGCTGGCTGTGGTGGTACACTCCCGAAATCCCAGCACTCTGACAGGATGAAGCAGGAAGACTGCAAATTAGAGCCCAGCCCGGGCAACTTAGTGATGAACCAGACCCTGTCTCAAAAATACAAAAGAATGGAGGGTGTCACTCAGTGTGAAAAGCCTGGGTCCAATCCCCAGAATCACACACACACACAGCCCCAGTAGGGAACATTCCCTAAGGTATAGACAATCCGGGAGGGCTTCCTGGAAGAGGCTGCTGATGAGTGTGGGGATGAAGTGGGGTTAGGGCTGAGGTGCTCCTGTAGGGAAAGGCATATGGTATTCGGGGGCCTATGTCCCCTTCTCTGTGTCCCCCACCCTCCTGGCAGCCCATGCTGCCACATCACCTCCACCTCAGCAGTCAAGCCCTAAAGACCCGTGTCAGGATCCTAACTCCTGGGACCCTTGATTTCAGACAGCTCCCCTCCTGCCTATGGAGCTCGAGAGGCAGCATTCACAGGGAGAAAATCCTTCCTGGCCAGAACCCTGAGCTGCAGGCTGGAACTCTGTCCAGCCAGGCTTGGCCTTCCCCGTGCCTAGGTCCTTGCCAGATGTCCCTGTGCTGAGGGCGCACTGTCCTGCCTGTCCACCTCTGCCACACAGCCAGCCTTGCTCGCTGCTCAGACCTACCCACCCTTCTTCCAGGTCCCTCAGCACTTTGCTCAGCTTGCTGCCCTAAGTTCTGTCAGTAGGGCCATCTTCCCCAGGGCCTGGCAGGGGGACTAAGAATGGAGGAGTGGGAGGCAGGTGGCTGGGTCATGGGACTGGGTGGCGGCTCAGAGCCTCCTGTCCCACTTGCCCCCAAGGGCCATGTGCCCATTGCCTTCCAGCAGCACTGTGGATGGGAACATTTTCATGCATGCGTGTGTGTGTGTGTGTGTGTGTGTGTGTGTGTGTGTGTGTGTGTGTGCGCGCGCATGCGTGCATGCGTGTGTGAAGGCACAGCTGGGGTCTACCACCTCCGCCCTTTGGCTGGGGAAGTGGGCTGATCCACCACCCTCTCCTCCATCCTAGACCTTCTGTCTGCCAATCGCTCTGCCATCTTCCTGGGCCCCCGAGGCTCTCTGGACCTCCAGGCCATGTACCTGGATGAGTACCGGGACCGCCTCTTTCTCGGGGGCCGCAATGCCCTCTACTCTCTGCGGCTGGGCCAGGCATGGCCAGACCCTCGGGAGGTGAGCTGGACGGATGGGGGGAGGTGGGGAAACTGGGGGTATGAGATGAGGGGAGTGCCTGGGGTCACCAGGCTGTGTTCTAGGTCCTATGGCCACCGCAGCCAGGACAGAGGGAGGAATGTGTTCGAAAAGGAAGAGACCCTTCGGTGAGTGCTATGGGAGGGTCTGCTCCCCACCTCCAAGCCCTAGGCCCTGACTCGAGGGTGGTCTGCAGCTGCTCCCTCGGGGCTACCTTCAGAGGTTTGTGAAGGATGTCACTCCTACCCACTTCCTGAGCTGATCAGCCAGGCCGGGCTGAGACTTGGAGCGGGGAGATAGAAGGCTCCCCCTCACCCCAGGCTCCACCCTTCCACCTCTCTGCCAGATGGAGTGTGCCAACTTTGTGCGGGTGCTGCAACCCCACAACCGGACCCACCTGCTGGCATGTGGCACTGGGGCCTTCCAGCCCACCTGCGCCCTCGTCACTGTTGGGCATCGTGGGGAGGTGAGCCTGGGCCAGCCCCGCAAAGGACTTTGAAGTAGTGACATTTCCTCCCTGCTGCCTGAACGGTTCCCATTGAGCTTGAGCGGGGGCAGAGGCACCACAGACCTAAAAGGCTCCTTTGTGCTGCATGCTGACCCCAGTAGAGGGGCCTGGAATGAGGGCACCTTCTATCCACCCCCACTCTCTAGCCGCACGCGAGCGAGGGCCACTGCCTGGGTGGGGGCTAGGGCTGCTTCTCCAGGTGACGCCTCCCTCTTCCCCCAGCACATGCTCCACCTGGAGCCCAGCAGTGTACAAAGTGGACGGGGACGGTGCCCACACGAGCCCAGCCGTCCCTTCGCCAGTACCTTTGTAGGTGGGTGATGCCAGGCCAGAGTGGGCACAGGGCGGGGGGAAGGGCAGCCTAGCCCCTCTTCTGCTGACCCTGCCCCTCCCAACTCCAGGTGGGGAGCTGTACACCGGCCTCACTGCCGACTTCTTGGGGCGGGAGGCCATGATCTTCCGAAGTGGGGGTCCCCGGCCAGCTCTGCGTTCAGACTCTGATCAAAGTGTCCTGCATGGTGAGGCAAGGCTGGCTGCGGCCTGCCCCCGCCCTTGGCAAGAGAGGAGATGCTGGAGCGGGGAGGGGAGGCCGCTGTCCTTCCTGGGGCTCCCGCCTCCAGTGGGTCCCCATGCTGCGTCCTGTCCCATCTGGATTCAGCCCCTTATCCTCCCCCGTGAACCCCTCTCCCCAGCATCACCCTGTCGTTCTCCCAGATCCTCGGTTTGTGCTGGCTGCACGGATCCCTGACAACTCTGACCAGGACAACGACAAGGTGTACTTCTTTTTCTCGGAGACTGTCCCATCGCCTGATGGTGGCCCAGGCCACGTCACTGTCAGCCGTGTGGGCCGTGTCTGTGTGGTAAGAGCTGGGAAGGGGTGGTGAAGTTCGAGAGCCCTGCTGCAGGCCCTTTCCTTGACTGTGTGCCTGCCACTGGGAAACTGAGGGGAAGATGAGGAGGTGACAGTCACACCTCCCCACAATGGTGAGGGAGGAGCAGAAGGAGGTAGGACCCATCCCGTGGGGGCCACGGCTGACTCTGGCCCCCACCCCAGAATGACGCTGGTGGCCAGCGGGTGCTGGTGAGCAAATGGAGCACCTTCCTCAAGGCCAGGCTGGTCTGCTCTGTGCCTGGCCCTGGAGGCGCCGAGACCCACTTCGACCAGCTGGGTAAGGGCACGGCTGGGCAGGCCTGTGTGCCGGGAGTGGGAGGACTCAGAGCTGCTGAGGGGCATCCTGGCAATGAGTGCTCCCGCGCCCCTTCTGTGTCCCAGAGGATGTATTCTTGCTGTGGCCCAAGGCAGGGAAGAACGTCGAAGTGTATGCACTGTTCAGCACTGTCAGGTGGGCACACGTGGCCTCCCGGGACCCTACCATCACCGGCCCCATCTCTGCACTTCTGGTCCCTCTGTTGAGCCTCTGCCTTCATGTCCCATCCTCGCTGTGGGTCCCTTTCTTTGTCCCTGACTCGGTGGTTCTGACTGTATTCTCTGTCTCCCTCTCTTTGCCTTTGCTCAGCGCCCTGGCTTTTCAGTCTCTGTCTGCAGCATGCACTGTCACCTCTGTCCTGCCTGTGACAAGAACCCTGGCCTGACCCTTCCTGTCCTTGGCAGTGCTGTGTTCCAGGGCTTCGCCGTCTGTGTGTACCACATGGTGGACATCTGGGAGGTTTTCAATGGGCCCTTTGCCCACCGAGAAGGTCCTCAGCACCAGTGGGGGCCCTATGGGGGCAAGGTGCCCTTCCCCCGGCCCGGCGTGGTGAGTATCCGCTTGGCAAGGGAGGCCTGAGCAGATGCCAGGAGGCACTCCTCTTTGGAAAGCCCAGGTCCACGTGCAGCCCTATGGCTGGGATGGTTGAGGCTCCGGTAGGCCTGGGTGGGGTGGAGTGTGGTGGGAGATGGGAAAGGTTGGTGGGCAGAAACAGACTGGGGGGGCATGCCATGCCAGGGGACTTCAGGTGCTCCCTTTGCTGCTGCCTGCAGTGCCCCAGCAAAATGACTGCAAAGCCAGGACGACCTTTCGGCAGCACCAAGGACTACCCGGACGAGGTGCTGCAGTTTGTCAGAGCCCACCCCCTCATGTTCCAGCCTGTGCGGCCTCGGCACGGCCGGCCTATCCTCATCAAGACTAACCTGGCCCAGCTGCTGAGGCAGATCGTGGTGGACCGTGTGGAGGCGGAGGATGGGACCTATGATGTCATTTTCCTGGGGACTGGTAGGAGGGCTGAGAGCAGGTGGCTGGGGGGGGGGTATGTGGGCCCCTCTTATGTCCCCTGCTGACCTCTCCAATGCTGCTCCAGACTCAGGCTCTGTGCTCAAGGTCATGGTTCTGCAGGCAGCAGGCTCAGCTGAGCCTGAAGAAGTACTTCTGGAGGAGCTCCAGGTGTTTAAGGTGAGCAGGGGCTGATGGAAGGGCCTCCAGCCTGTCCTGGGGTTGAGGCTGCATACAGAGAAGCCGGAGCAAGCCAGGGGAGGCCTAAAAGTGCTGCTATACGCCGCTATTGAGGTCTTACTGATGCTTCTGATTGTCTAAGGGGCCTACAGCCACAGTCTGTGGGCTGAGAGTGGCTCCCTGGGAGGGGTGACCAAGCTGAGCACCTCAACATAGTCCTACAGGGCACAAGTCACAGTGAGGAGGCAGCTGAAATCCCCGAGTCTCCAAGGGTTCTGCTAGCCCCCCTGTAGATTCAGGCAGTGGGCTGTCTGTTTGGGGGACTGTTTGCTCTACTGGACACCAGGTGGGTGATTTGGGACAGCACCTCCTTTCTGGGGCACATGACTGAGAGAGGGGTCACTGCAGTGCTATGCTTTGAGTTAAGCCTCCCACTTGAGGCCAGTGAGGAAGAGGGGACTGTTTTTGTAACCTGATGTCTAGGAAAGATCATCCAGCCTTAGCTGCAAAGAGGTGCGCTGAGCAAGCTGCCAGACAGGTGGGCCCACCTAGGCCTTGAAGGAGGCTGAAAGCAATGATGCCGGGAGGGTCTCATCCCACCCCACCCACCCTGAGATCCTACTTCTTCCCCAGGTGCCAACACCCATCACCGAGATGGAGATCTCTGTCAAAAGGGTAAGGGCAGCTGCCCCCTTCTCACACGTCCCCTGCTCCTTGCCCCTCTGCAGCCCCCCTGAGTGCTGCTATAGTGTGCTGGAGAACTGTGCTGGGCAGCCCGGTTCGGTCTTGCCACAAGGGCCTAACCAGCTGGGAACTGGGCTTCTCATGTACGAAGCAGTGGGCAGTGAGTGGCGCTGAGAAAACAAGATAAAGACAGAGCCACAAAGCCTGTTCTTTTCTTTTTAAAAGTCCAGTTCTGGAGGAAGGTGAAATGCACTTGGAAACAAAATCCAGATTTTAGATCAAACAAGGGAGCCACTTTTATTTTTTATTTTTATTTTTTTTTGGTTTTTCTCCGGTACCGGGAACCGAACTCACGACCTTGCGCTTGCCAGGCAGGCACTTTTGCCGCTGAGCTAAATCCCCAGCCCCTAGGGAGCCACTTTTAGAAGCTTGCTGTGTGCCATTTTGCAAATGGCAAAACCATACCCACTCCAGTTGGTAAATTCCAACTTCCTATACAACTAGGATTGCTTAAAGTACAGCTCCAGAATCAGAGGCCAGTCCAGTGAAGGCTACTGGGGTAGAGGGCAAAGGCCAGCAGCAGGGAAGCCTGGAAAAGTTCCTTAGACAGAAGATCCTGGACACACCCCAACTCTTCCACATCCTACCACAGGATCTATTATATGGTGGGTGGGCGATAAACATCTTTGTTTTTGTGAATGAATCCAGGAGGTTCTAGAAGACTTCCCAAGCATGGCAGAGTCTCAGGAAACCCACAGGGTTGAGAGCCTTGCTGCTCCTTGAAGCCCAGGATCTCTATAGGCTCTGCTTATGTTCCTCCCCAGCAAATGCTGTATGTGTGCTCTCAGCTGGGTGTGGCCCAGCTGCGGCTGCACCAGTGTGAGACCTACGGCAGTGCCTGTGCAGAGTGCTGCCTGGCTCGGGACCCCTACTGTGCCTGGGACGGTGCCTCCTGTACCCGCTACCGCCCTAGCCTGAGCAAGCGCCGGTTCCGCCGGCAGGACATCCGGCATGGCAACCCTGCTGTACAGTGCCTGGGCCAGAGTCAGGATGGTGAGTGGGTCCCCGCTTGTCCTGTGGCCTGGGCATCCTCCTTGTGAGGAATCGCCTCAGACTGATCCTGTTGTATCAGTTTATCTGTGCAGCTGCAATCAGTGCACGTGTAGGTTCCTGGGATGCAGTGATGGGCTTGGGGATGGACAGATGTGTTCATCCTTATCATACTAGTGGGTTGTGGGAGTCAGTTGGTGGCCCTGGGGGCCTGGGTCCCATAGTTCCCAAGGTGATCCAATCTGGATCTCTCTGCAGAGGAGGCTCCAGGACTAGTGACCACCAGGGTCTACGGCACTGAGCACAATAGCACCTTCCTGGAGTGCCTGCCCAAGTCTCCCCAGGCTGCCGTGCGCTGGTTCTTGCAGAGGTCAGAGAATGAGAGGCCTGACCAGGTAAGGAAGGACCCTACCTCCAACCCTCACCTCCAACCCCAAACCCTACGCCCTCAGCCCGATGAAGGGGCTCTGGGGCAAAGACAAATCTGCTAAGATCAGTCTAAGAAAAGTGCGTATTAGGCTCCTGAGGTGCCTAGGAGGAGGTGTCCCTATTTCTGCCTCTGGGTATGCCCAGGCCAAAGGTGGCTGGAAGTCCTCCAGGTTAAGAAGTGGGTAACAGAGGTGGAAGAGAAGAAAGGGGACTGTGACAGCCCCGAAGTCCCCCATGCTTACGCTTGTGGCCCACCTTGGAGGGGTCTCTTCCCTAGGGGTTCTTGTCCTTTTCTGCACCAGGCCTGAGTCCCTGATCACTGGATCTTGCCCCACCTCCACAATTCCTGGCTCCACACTTCCTCCTTGGAGAGCAGCTATTTGCCCAGGCCATGTCCTCCCCTTCCACAAGAATCTGTCACCACCCCCACCCCCGTCCTCTCATCCCCCAGATGGCTGCAGTCTGGGACTTGAGGCTGGGCGTGGGCTGGGCAGGGTGAGGAACGATTCTCCCACGGGGAAGGGGAGGGAAGAGGAGGGTGTTGATTACAGGAGGGGCTCTCCCTCCAGCCTGGGAACTGGGGGAGGCCAGCCTTGGGCCAGCTGTGGTGTTGGGCACTGAGGAGACTCCCTGGGGTAGGAAGGAGCAATGGGATGAAATTGTGCAACACTAACCACCCAAGGAGTCTCCCTCAACACACAGAGACAATCTAAGGCTTAGGCAGAATTCCGAGACACAGGCTGGGATCAGAGCCACACTCCTGCCTCCTACACTGAAGTGGGCACTCAGCCCACCCAGGCTGGGGCTGTCAGCCTCACTGGGGAGTGAACAGGGCAGATCAAGACAGGGAATCCCACCTGGTCATGGAAGTGTACAAGCCTGCAGATACGCTTGTGACCCCTCTGCTTCCTGGGCATGTGTGCTTGGCTCTCTGAAGCCAAGATCTGTCCCCCAGCATTCTGACTAGGGGAGAGAGTAGTCATGTAAATGTTTGAAAAGCCTTTCCAGCCCCTTTCCTGGGTTATGGAAGGTGGAGTCCTGCCTACAGTTAGCTCACCGCCGGGGTCTGGGCCCCACCAGGCTGCTGGTGCCCCCTGGGAAGGGGAGGATGGGCAAGGGGAAGTACCCAAGCACTGCGTCCTGAGGATAGCAAGCTTAGAAAAGCGGGGGCAAAGGAGCTGATGGCACAGGTTCTGTCTCTCCTCTATCCCCTATGCCCTCTCCCCACTTGTCAGGTGAAGACAGACGAGCGAGTCCTGCAAACAGAGCAGGGGCTGCTTTTCCGCAGACTCAGCCGCCTTGATGCTGGTACCTACACCTGCACCACACTGGAGCACGGCTTCTCCCAGACTGTGGTCCGTCTGGCTCTGGAGGTGATTGTGGCCGCACAGCTGGACAGTCTGTTCCCTGCAGGGCCGAAGCTGGAGGAGCCCCCAGCCCGAGGAGGCCTGGCCTCTGCTCTACCCAAGGCTTGGTATAAGGACATCCTGCAGCTCACTGGCTTTGCCCACCTGCCCCAGGTGGATGAGTACTGTGAGCGTGTGTGGTGCAGAGGCATTGGGGAGCATTCAGGTTCTTTCCGAAGCCGGGGAAAACAGGCCAAGGGCAAAAGCTGGGCAGGGCTAGTGCTGGGCAAGAAGGTAAAGAGTCGGGGCCAGGCTGAGCGCAATCGGACACCTCGGGAGGTAGAGGCCACATAGAAGATGGCCAGTGGGGGTGGTGGTCAGGGGAACCCAGCAGCAACCTCCAGCATCTCCCACCTGCCCAGCAAAGGCAGAGGGAGCCAGGATGCCTGATTGCTTCTTAAGGTCTCTCAGGAAAGACTGGTGGCCTGAGGGAAGGGCCCTGTGCCTGCGGCCTGTTCCCTGCGGCCTGTTCCCTGCCCCTCTTTGTGTTCTCAGTCTCAGATCGAAGCTGGTACACTCTGGCCCCTGGAGCCCCAAGGGAGCTGCCATTTGTTCTCAGAGATGGCCTGGCTTCCGGAGCACATTTCCGGTTGTGCCCAAGGCAAGAGGGGTGGGTAGTTCTTTCCCAGCCTGCAGAACAATGGGCATTCTAAGTGACCCTCAGAGTGGGTATGGGGGTAGCTCTAAGGAAATATGTGGGCAAGGGTCCTCAAGCAGCCCAAGGAATGTAGAAGTAGCCCTTAAGGTAGTACCTATTAAGAAAAGAGCTGGGGAGGGAACGTAGAGGTGTTGAGAAAGTAGAGCAGTGACCCCCTGCCCTTTCACGCCATGACAGGTTGGTGGTTCCCTGCCACAGCCTCTCACCGCTTCTGTATCTCAGAATTACAGAGGCATCGGCTGCTGGTTATCTGGGAGTGGTCTGGACCTTGGATCCTGCTTTACAAACCAGGGGGAGGGATCTCACAGCCTAACCTCCCTTCCTCAGGCCCCAAACTGTCAGGCCAGGTTTGCTGGGATACCCACACCTCCTGACAGATTCCACCCCCAGGACCCCTTACCATTAGGTTCCTATGCTAAGAAGTAGGGAGAGGGGTAGGATCTACGGCAGTGACATCGAACTTTTTAGAGCTTTTAATGATAAACAGCCCACTGCGGCAGATGTGCTATATGTTTACCACCACTGACCTAGGGAATGTCAACCCCCCTCTCTGTGATGGGGAGATGGGGAGAAGTGAGCTGGAGAAGTATAAGGGTGGGAGGAGTGGGCTACCTTTCCAGAGCAATCCAGGTGCCCCACACCTGGGAGGGTAGCAATGTGGAGGCTCTGTGAGCTGCAGCTGGTGATCATTATTGGAACCAGGACTTTTTCCAGGACCACAGAGAACTGAGAAGCTATGGACATGGAAGGAGGGTGGGAGACCCTCAGGCTGGGCAAGAAGCAGGTGTCTTTAAGAACTCAAGTTGATATTAATTAGTTCAGGAGCCACTGGGAAGACCAGATGTTCCCTGGAGTCTGTATTTTTTGTTAATTAAAAGCTGGCCTTTCTTCCTCCCTCCCTCCCTCCCTCCCTCCCTCCTTCCTT